AAAAAAAAAAAAAAAAAAGTCAAAGACAAGGCCTTTCTGGCCATGGTGGGGCAGGCCTCCGAGGGACGACTGTCATTGGCTCTCCCAGAGTTCTTTCCACAGGGGTGCTCCCCTGGTGGGTTGGCCTTCCCACTTCACAGATTGTGGGGCTGAGGCCAGTGAGGCTCTGATAATCCCCACACAGCGTGTCTGCCGCCCTCCATGCTGACCATGCACAGCAGGCTCCACAGCCTGGGTCTGCCGCGTTCAAGGCCAGATCAGCCCAGCCCCGCGCTGTGGTCACCATAGGAGGAGGGAAAGGGGCTCTTCAATTAGTGTTACGACAATATGGCCCGTTGGGGTTTTTTTTGTATATGTAACAAAGTTTACAGACGGTTTAAGGGGACGGGGGAATTTATAGCTTAACACTGCAGACAACCTAAAATAGAACATCAAGTCTCTTGTTCTTTTTTTTTTGAGACGGAGTCTTGCTCTTATTGCCCAGGCTGGAGTGCAGTGGCACAATCTCAGCTCACTGCAACCTCTGCCTCCTGGGTTCAAGTGATTCTCCTGCCTCAACCTCCCAAGTAGTTGAGACTACAGGTGTACGCCACCACACCTGGCTACTTTTTGTATTTTTAGTAGAGATGGGGTTTCACCATGTTGGCTAAGCTGGTCTCGAACTCCTGGCCTCACGTGATCCGCCTGCCTTGGCCTCCCAAAGTGCTGGGATTGCAGGCAGGAGCCACCATGCCTGGCCAAGTCTCCCATTCTTAAAGTCCTTCCATTAACAGCCCACAAGAAATTTCACATCAGACAGGAAGAGTTTAAAAGACAGGTTGTCCTAGGCTGAGTGGTCAGGGAAGGAGGGGGAGACTCAGCTGGAGCTTGAAGCATAGGTGGGACTCAAGGAGAAAGATGAGGGGGTGCAGAGGCATTTGCAGGGGCGGGGGGAAGGCACGCAAGAGACCAAGCTCCCCCTGCCTCCTTGGTGTCACAAGTGCTTCCAGAGAGAGGCAGTGCCTGCTGTGGGTAGCCCTTGGCCTGGTTTGCTGCTCTGTGGGGTGAGTGGGGGATGGCCGTGCCTAGTTCTCACACCTGCACCCCTCCCCGCCGGGCTGTTTCCTTGCACAGGGTAACTGACGAAGTCTTCAACTTCCTGCTGGTGTGGTATTACTGCACCCTGACCATTCGAGAGAGCATTCTCATCAGCAACGGCTCAAGGTACTTGGGGGCCTGGCTTTGTGGAGAGCACAAGGGCAGTCAAAGGAAAATGTCATGAGGGACATTAGATGGGGACTGACACCCTCAGGCTGCATTCCTCTTCTCCTTGGGGGTTGCTTTGTTACTGTTCAGACCCGGGAATACCAGAAGCTGCCGCTGCTGATGCAGCAGCTCTTGTTTATGATCAGTCTCTTGCTTATGAGCAACAGCAGCCCTAACTCAGACTGGCTTAACACAATAAGAAACATGTTTTCTCATAAAAAGAAGGGACCCATTGTGCTAGCTTCAGGTAAGGCTCGATCCAGGTGCTCTCCATCTCTCACTTCTGCCCTCTGTGTTGTCTTTATCTCAGGCTACATGTGAGGCACCCAGCAGCTCCAGGCTCACGTCACTATTTCTAGCATTCCCACCAAACAGGGCACATTCGTCTCTTCCAAGACTCCCACTGGGTCCCACTGGCTAGGTCCAGGCAGAGAATGGATCGGGTACCTATCCCGAACCAGTCACTGTTGCCAGGGAATGCGGTGCTGTGATTGGCCAGGCTTGAGCCTCACATCCACCCTGAGAGTGGTCACTGGGAGTGGAGAAGCTGAGTGTCGGTAGAGGAATGGTTCCCTAGAAGAAAATTGGGAGACTGTCACTAGGAGGATAGACGGGTTTTGGTGACAAGAGTGGATGGTCCTCCACAGGGAGATGGAGGGGAGAGCAGACAGGTGAAGAGAGTCTTAGGCCAAACCTGTCCCCAAAGAGCAGATGCTGGGGAGGACGGAGGCCAGGCTGGGAGTGTGGGCTCCTGCGCTCCAGTCCCAGGGCCCTCGAGGAACAGCCCTGTGCCCCGGACAGGTTGTGTCTCCTCTTTGGACTGTTTCAGAGTCCCGTTGGGGAAGGGGTGTGTCAGCGGTGCTGAGTGAGTCTAAGCAAAACGGGGGGTTCCCTTGGCCCCCATCTCTGAAGGGCTCTGAGTGTGAGAAGCCCTGTTTTCTCTCAGCCTCCTTCCTGCCCTGCCTGCCTGTACGCTGAGTCTTGAGACCAGTTAAAACCCATGACTTGCCACCTGGAGGACCTGTTTTCCAAAAGCCTAATTCCTTTTGGGATGGCCATTGAAACCTCTGTGCCATTCCTTTTTTTTTTTTTTTTTTTTTTTTTTTTTTTTTTTTTTTTTTTTTTTTTTTTTTTTTTTTTTTGAGGTGGTGCCTTGTTCCGTGGCCCAGGCTGGCGTGCAGTGGCGCCATCTCGGCTCATTGCAACCTCTGCCTCCCAGTTCAAGCGGTTCTTCTGCCTCAGCCTCCCAAGTAGCTGGGTTACAGGTGCCCACCACCACACCCGGCTAATTTTTGTATTTTTAGTAGAGACAGGGTTTCACCGTGTTGGCCAGGCTGGTCTCAAACTGCTGACCTCAGGTGATCCACCTGCCTTGGCCTCCCAAAGTGCTGGGATTACAGGTGTGAGTCGCCGTGCCAGCCAATGTGCCATTCTGGTTTTTGTTATTTCCTGAAACAAAATGTAACAAGCTCCTGCTTCCTCCCTGCTGGAGAATGCCCAGGAGCTGCGGCCCCCACCGCCTAACACGCCACCTTCCTGCTTGTTTGCCTGCTAGTTTCTTATGGCAGGTCCCTGCCGTGCCGGCTTTTACCCTGAACATAGAGCCTGGAGGTAAGGACAAGAGCCCCCTCCTACCTGGCCTCCTGAGGTCAACAGGGAGTCTCCGGAACGCAGCCTTGTAGCACATAGCCATTTAGAAAACATCAGTGTGTAGGCCGGGTGTGGCGGCTCACGCCTGTAATCCCAGCAGTTTGGGAAGCTGAGGTGGGTGGATCACTTGAGCCCAGGAGTTCAAGACCAGCATGGGCAGCATAGTGAGACCTCATCTCTACCCCCGCCCCCCAAAAAAATAGCTGGGCATGGTGCTGGTGTGTGCCTGTAGTCCCAGCTAATTGAGAGGCTGAGGCAGGAGAATCACTTGAGCCCAGGAGTTTGAGACCAGCCTGGGCAACATGGCAAGACCCTGTCTTAATTCAAAAATTAAAAAATTAGCCAGGCATGGTGGTGCACACCTGTTGTCCTTGCTACTCTGGAGGCTGAGGTGGGAGGATCACATGAGCCCAGGAAGTTGAGGCCACTGCACTCCAGCCTAGGCAAGTGAGACCCTCTCTCAAAAAGAAGAGGCTCAGGGGCATGTGATGCCTCTAGCAATCATTACACTTTAGCAAGAGTTACTCTGGGCAGCTTTTTATTCTAGTATGGCATGCTGTGGATGGTGGAGTGACCGGAGAGATGGGAGCAGCAGTGAGCAGAGGTCCCTCCAGCAAAACAGAGAGGGCCACTAAAGGGGCAAAAACGGAGTGCAAAGCCAGCCTCCCCTGCCTAACAATTTGCAGGAGCCGTTCGGAAATCCTGGAGTTTACGCTCTGATGGAAGAGCAGGGATGTTTGTCTCTGAGCTTGCAATGCAAAGCTTCGTGCGTGGGTCTGCTCTACCCCCATCTGCCATTCATCACACATTTATTGAGCATTTCCTAAGTACCAGACACTGAACGAAGGACTCCAAGATAACTCACACTCTGTGCCTTCTGGGAGCACTCACAGAAGTGTTTTTCCTTTTCTTTTTTTTTTCGAGACAGAGTCTTGCACTGTCGCCAGGCTGGAGTGCAGTGGTGAGATCTTGGCTCACTGCAACCTCTTCCTCCTGGGTTCAAGTGATTCTCCGGCCTCAGCCCCCTGAGTAGCTGGGATTACAGGTGCCCACCACCACACTTGGCTAATTTTTGTATTTTTAGTAGAAACGGGGTTTCACCATCTTGGCCAGGCTGATTCAAACTCCTGACCTCAGGTGATCCACCACCTCAGCCTTCCAAAGTGCTAGAATTACAGGCATGAGCCTCCACGCCCAGCCCAGAATTTTGTTTACTAAAGTCCTTTTCATAGCAGATAGGGTTCAAGGAATTTGAGGTTGCAATGGAACCATTCCTCCAGGTCTGTCTCCCCTTGCTGGCCTGGGGCAGGCGTTTGAATGGGCTTGAGGAGTCTGTCGTCTGGAATGGGGCCTCTGGGCCCAAACAGATGCAAATAGATACGTTATCTTCTATTTAGCTTGGTGCAAAAGTTTTTGTGTTTCACAGTCATCTTTGTACCAACCTAATAAAATGACTCCGGGAGCTGGGACCAGCTTGTGGGGGAGGGGACAAGGCAGGTGGGCTGAATCTGAGTGACTCAGACTTGTGACTCATCCTCCACATCTGTTGGAGATTTAGCCTCCGCCCTCCCCCAGCTGCTTCTCAGAGCTGATTGATCCTGGAGGCAGGTGAGGGAGATGCCTTTGAGGCTTCTCCTGCTTGGTCCCCTGCCAGGGAGTAGCTCAGAAGCCTCTGCAGGAGAGCCGTGTGGAGGCGGTGGGAGGTGAGACTGGGATGGACTCTAGTTTCTCATCCCCGAAGCATCCGCTCAGGGCTGGTGCACAGTCAAAACCCCACGGTCTTCGTTGAAGTGAATCAAACCCAAGTTCTGCGATGAGGAAGGGTCCCAGGGCCATAACGGCGTTCTAGAGACAGTGTTGCTGAACCCTGCGGGCTTCCTGCGGGCCTGCTGTCCTGTTTTGGTCTGATGGTGATGCTTTTGTCCAGTTCTGGTTGCACCTGAGATTTGAATTGGGACAGGAGGTGTGGTCAGGGAAGCAGGTGGGGGTGGGGACTTCCTGATGGGGAGATGAGGCCACTCTTGGTTTATGTCTGGTGCCTGCTAAGTGAGATGCCACTCTTCAGCTCAGCATAATAAGCAAGTCAGCTTCTCCTGGAAACTTGAAAATGCTGGAAACCTGTCCCACAGGGACTAAACCTGAAGGGGTCTTATGGGTGCATGTAACTGGGAAGTTCAAGAAGGTCAGGAGGGCTCAGGCAGCGTTCACAGCCCGGTTCCAGCTCCTTATTCCGTTTTCCCCTGTGATGGCTCCCAGTGGCCCCCAGGTAGGCCTCCCATTAATAGCAACCGCTGGGCGGATAGAACCTCCCTCCACCCCAGCTGGAATCTTGACACAGACTTTTGATTGGCCAGGCTTGGGTGACCTACTGATCTCCAAGAGCCAGTCACTGTTGCCAGAGGAATGCAGAGAGCCCTGTTTGGTTGGCTGGGGGTCATGTGCTTGGTAATAAGCCTGAGCTTTATCCCAGCCACCCAGACTGAGTGTGGGGGTGAGGTGGTTGTCCACAGGAGCAAAGCAGAGGCCACCTAACCAGGATGGGCTGTGATTGGCAACTGCGCAAAAAAGTCAACGTCTGTTGCACTTAGTTCTGGGCCAGAATGAATAGACTCAGGGATCGTGTTGGCCTTTCTAGGGAGCCCCAGCCTAGGGTGCCTGCTTCTAATGGGCTTTTTAGGGGCCTGTCCTCAGACAGACACAAACATATAAGGGTGACAGGTGCAGGAGTGGTCCTCGGTGTAGAAGCCATTCCCCAGCCGTCTAGGTGTCCCAAGGCACAGAGCCAAGAACAGCCTGGGGTTCATAGTGGCTGGTGCACATGTCTTCTGCACACTCACAGCCATGCTAATGTGTCCTGAAGGGAGAAGTCTACTTTTCTACCTTTTGCAGTTTCCAGATACGGGGACACGCTGTCCCTATGTCTGGCCATGGATGCACCTACTCCTCTTGGAGCTCATCAAAAAAGTCCATGAGTCCCTGCAAGCTTTAACTTCTGTGGTGAAATGGACCCAGAGAGCGACTGCAAATGGGTGTAGGTTTTTCTGCGGTGATAAAAAGGTTTCAAAATAGTTTGTGGTGACAGTTGCACAATTCTGTGAATATACTGAAAACCACACAGTTGGACCCTTTGAATGCGTGAATTGTATGGCATCTAAATTACATCACAATCAAATGGCTATGTAAACACACATGCACAGACCCAGCCCAGAGCCCTGGGATGTGCAGATGGATGCCGGGGCTCGTGAATGCCAGGCCGGGGAAGCAGCGATTTCTAGCCTCACCCGATGTCAGCGAGCTGTGTTTATTGGTGGCATCTGTCAGAGCTGGGCCCTGGGCACAGCGAGCTGTGAAATGAAAAGCTGCCGCTCAGTCAGGCTTGTTGCCTGGAGTCTGCGTCTGCCTCAGGCTCCTCCTAGACGGGCAGAGGGCGTTTCTCTAGGGATCTTCAGGAGCAGGACAAAGGAGTGTGGTGCTTGCCAAGTGCTGAGGGCAGACACGTGGCTCGGCAGAGCTCTGGAAGGTTGCAGAGAGACCTCCTGGTTGCTCTTGAGGCTGGAAGTCGGGGGACCTGGCAACTGCCTTTGCTGTCAGAAATTTGGAGCCAGAGGTCTTCTTAGACTCTGACAGGCGAGACTAGGATTCATGGGTGGGGGTGAGGGTTTTCTGGGGACAAAGAAGTAGATGGACATCTTACCCTGTTCCCATGACCTCACGTGGCACCTGCAGCAGTCTCCTGTCACCTCTGTGCTGGTGGCATCCAGATTAACTGCTGCCTTCACAGCCACACCTCCCAGATGTCATTTGCGTCAGCATTTATTGAGTGCCCACTGTTTGCCTGGTGCTGTGAATGTAGGAGTACAGGGCTGCATGAAGCCTTGCCCTTCCCCGGGGCTCCTGGGGAACACAGGCTGTTGCTTGAAAAGCCAGTTTATGCCCAGAACTATTACATGGGCTCTCAAGGAAGAAGCGAGGCTAAGATGCAGTCTGTGTTCTTAAGATGTGTGTATTCTGGTTGGAAGGTTTTAAGATGGTTCCAACCCCCTTACAAGGAAAATATAAATTGAAACCTCAGTGACTTGCCAGTTTTCACCTAATAAGTTTCCTAACAATTTTTATTTTATTTAATTTACTTGTTGATGGAGACAGGGTCTCTCTGTAGCCCAAGCTGGAGTGCAGTGACGCGATCCTGGCTTACTGCAACCTCGGCCCTCCAGGCTCAAGCAGTTCTTCTGACTCAGCCTCCCGAGTAGCTGGGACTATAGGCGCACAGCCCCACACCCAGCAAATTTTTACTTTTTTTTTTTTTTTTTTTGTAGAGATGAGGTTTCGCCATGTTGCCCATGCTGGTCTTGAACTCCGGGGCTCAAGCAGTCTTCCTGCCTCAGCCTCCCAGAGTGCTAGAATTACAGGTGTGAGCCACTGCACCTGGCCAGTTTGGTAACAGTTTTAAAATATGGCATCCACTGTTGATGTGGATTCCGGGACCCAGATCCTCTCTTCCGCTGCGGATGGAAGTGTAAATTGGGATGGCTGCTTGGAGGGTAATTGGACAAGGGACAGGACACACTTTTTGACCCAGCCATCCTGCCTCCGGTAGCCACTGAGAAGAAACAGTGTCATTGCATTTAGGGGACTTCCACAAGGACATCATGACAGCATTGAGATCAACAGGGAGAGTTGAGAAACAGCCAGAGGCCGGGCATGGTGGCTTATGCCTGTAATCCCAGCACTTTGGGAGGCTGAGGCAAGAGGATCGCTTGAGGTCAGGAGTTTGAGACCAGTTTGGTCTAGCAAGACCCTGTGTCTACAAAAAGAAAAAAAAACAAGAGAAACAGCCAAGTAGACTGTGGCAGAACCACACCTTGGAATGTCATTTACCATTTGAGAAGCTGTGACCGGGCCGGACGCAGTGGCTCATGCCTGTAATCCCAGCATTTTAGGAAGCCGAAGTGGGCAGATCACAAGGTCAGGAGATCGAGACCATCCTAGCCAACATGGTGAAACGCCATCTCTACTGAAATACAAAAAATTTGCTGGCCATGATGGTGGGCGCCTGTAGTCCCAGCTACTCAGGAGGCTGAGGCAGGGGAATTGCTTGAACCCAGGTGGCAGAGGTTGCAGTGAGCTGAGATCGCACCACTGTATTCAGCCTGGGCAACAAGAGCAAAACTCGTCTCAAAAAAAAAAAGCTGTGACATATCTGTAGGTACTGACCTAGGTGTCAAGCAGGTTCCAGGATGATTTTAGTTAAAAAGAAAGCCCTCTTGGTTCAGCCAAAAAAAAAAAAAAAAAAAGCCTAAGGCCAGGCATGGTGGCTCATGCCTGTAATCCCAGCACTTTGGGAGGCTGAGGCAGATAGATTACCTGAGATCAGGAGTTTGAGACCAGCCTGGCCAACATGGTAAAATCTCGTCTCTACTAAAAATGCAAAAATTAGCTGGGCGTGATGGCAGACGCCTGTAGTCCCAGCTACTCGGAAGGCTGAGGCAGGAGAATTACTTGAACCCAGAAGGTGGAGGTTGCAGTGAGCCAAGATCACGCCACTGCACTCTAGCCTGGGTGACAGAGTGAGACTCTGTCTCAAAAACAAAAAAAAAAAAGAAAGAAAGAAAGCCTAATCCAGTATCTCCCTCTGCGAACCAACTCACCCCTGAGCAGATCCTCAGGGTTCCCCCGTTAGTGAGTGGACCCATTTCCCTGCCCAGCCCCAAGAGAGTTCTGGAGGGATGAAGGTTAACAACTGTTCCCACGGGCATCCCCAGCCTCCACTACCCAGTCCTGGGGAGGAGGGGGCTGGCCGCTCCTGGGTGCATTTGGCAAGTTGCTGCCACGTGTTTGGACAAGAGGAGCCCAGGAGGCCAGCCAAGGCCTGAGACACACTCTGGGACGTTGAAGGGCACAGGGTTGAGGGTCCAACTCCTTTCTTCCTAGGCTGCCCCTGATGTTGGGGATGGGGGTGACAACCAGGCTCTACTGACTGTGGATCAACAGCCCCCAGCTGGGGGAGCACTAAGTTCTGGAACCAGGGTCCCCACAGCCTCTGGACTGGACAGGTGAAGTCCAGGGCTGGGCGAGGGCCTCCTGTCGCTGAGATGGCAGGAGATGGGCCTGGGTGTGTGGCTTCTGGGGAGAAGCTGCCCCAGATGGTGTGAGCTGCCGCATATGGCGTCCATACCAGCCTCTGCTTCTGTACAGAGCAATATCGCAGCTCCAGTCCTGTGTGAGAGTGTGTGGCCAGGCACGGTGTTCATGACTATAATCCCAGCACTGTGGAAGGCCAAGGTGAGAGGATTGTTTCAGCCCAGGAGTTTGAGACCAGTCAGGGCAACATAGCAAGACCCTGTCTCTAAAAAAAAAAAAAAAAATAGCTGGGTGTGGTGGCGCACACCTGTGATCCCAGCTACTCAGGAGGGTGAGGTGGGAGGATTGCTTGACCTGGGAGGTCAGGGCTACAGTGAGCCTGATTGTAGCGGCACTCCAGAGAGGGTGACAGAGCAAGACCCCGTCTAGAAAAAAGAGAGAGAGAGAGAGAGAGAAAGAGAGAGAGAGAGAGTGTGTGTGTGTGTGTGTGTGTGTATGTATGTATGTATGTACGTGTGTGCTTATTCAGCACATTTATTGAGCAGCTGCTTGGAACCCAGGGTCATAGATTGATTGGTGAAAAACAGTGAGAAGACCGCTGCTCAATCTGGAGGTGACACATGGGCGGGAAAGGGGACTGATACCGGGAAGAAAGGTTCGTAATTGCTGACGGTGGTCCGTGCCATGGAGATGACGCGGGGCAGTGTGATCCGAGCTGGGCCATCGGGCTGGTTCAGGTAAGGCAGTCAGGGGGCCTTTGCAAGATGACAGCTGGTCTGAAGCTTGAACTTGGACCGGGAGCCAGGCAGACTGAGGTCTTGGAACAGAGAGGGCAGCAAGTCCGAAGGCCCTGAGCGAGCCCGCTGGGTGTAGCTGTAGGAAATACCACCCGCCGGGCGTCCTAAACCACAGAGTGTATCTCCTCACAGTTCGGCAGCTGGAAGCCTAGGAGGGACTCCGGTTTCTCCAGAGACCACTCTCTGTGGCTTGCAGATGGCGCCTTCCCATGTGTCCTCATGTGGCCTTTTCTCTGTGCACGAACAGCCCTGGCGTCTTTCCCCCTTCTTGAAGACACACAGTCACCCTGGACTCGGGCCCACCTGCTTGGCCTTGTTTTACCTCAGTCCCCTCTTTAAAGGCCCTGTCTTCAAATACGGTCCGGACATTAAGGTGCTGAGTGGCTCAGCTTCAGCACAGGAATTGGGGCCACTGTTCAGTCTGTGGCAGGCCCTGAGGGGGCGGCAGGCAGGCTTGGCGGGCTCTAGGAGAACCCACGTGCCTGGAGCATCCGCGTGCTGGGGAGAGGACCTGGTGGGGAGGAAAGGAGTGAGGCTTGAAGGCGGATGAGTGCAGGGGTGTGTTCTAAGGGTCACCGGAAGCCCAGGTAGGAGTCCGGGCTAATCTGAAGCTGGTGTGTGTGGGATGGTGCGGCCCTGTGGGACAGCGAGAAGGGCAAGGTCATGGCTCGGGTCCGTTTCTTACTCCAAGAAGCCGTCTCTGAGTGCAGAGAGCCCCTGCTGCCTAGGCGGGGCCTCAGCAACACACGCCTGAGTCCCTGTCCCCGCCTGAGCGCCTTCTGTTCTCTCCCTCTCCCGAGAATTAAAGGCTGGTGGGTGTCTCACCACTACGTGTCCACGTTCCTGTCCGGAGTGATGCTGACCTGGTGAGTAGCCCCTCGCTGGGCGCCTCCAGCCTCCTGGGAGTAGAGCCTGGGGCCTGGGAATGGGGAGGGGGCTGATCCAGATGGCAGTGGGGGGCCTCCACCACCAACTTGGGAAAGAAAGCATGAGCCTGCAGCTGGGCCAGACGCTGTGTGGCCCACCCAGCCCGTGAGGGGGTTTTTCAGGGAATGTTTTCAGGTGCCCCTGAGAGCAGAGGTAGCGGGGGCTGCAAGGCTTGAGGGAGCAAGCAAGGCTGGGCACTGAAGGAGACCTCGGAGGACAGCGGGGTCACGGGGGTCAGCACCTCTGCACGGCTGTGTGACTCCTGGGGTCCTAGAGAGGAAGATGGGCATGACCTCGCCCAGCCCCTGGGATAGGAGGGCAGGAGTCAGGCCTCAGTTTGACTTGGTATCCACCTTTCCCCTCTCCTGACGGGAATGGAGTCGGGTGGGGAGGAATGTCCAATTTCACAGCAGCTGCACCTTTGTTCTTTCCTACCTTCTCTTCAGGCCTAATGGACTCATTTATCAGAAGTTTCGCAACCAGTTTTTAGCATTTTCCATTTTTCAGAGTGAGTGACTCTTGCCTGGATTTGGGGGAGGGGACACAGTTTTCCGAGACTGTGACCAAGGGAGGCCCCCAGTTCACATCAGTGCTTGCCTGTGCGGCAGAGACCAGACTTGGGGAGAGGGTCCCAGAAATCCAGAGAGAGAGCTGTCCTTGCCCCAGGTCAGCTCCAGCCACCTCCCAGTCCCCACCACTTCCCCGGGCTGGAACCCTGCCAACTGTGATTTTTGAGAACTGAGTAGCATTGCGGGCACCAGCCTTTCCCAGTCCTAGATGAGTTCTCCAAATGGAAATCTACATTATTTTTCTCCTCTGAAAATCGCTCTGGATTTGTATCCAATGAACTGGTCCCAAGGGTTGCCCCTGGGGAGGGGAGCTTGGATGGCTGGGGACAGGGAGAGGGTTTTACTTTTCACCAACCCATTCGTTCCTGTTAAATTTAGCAACAACGAAGTATCCTGTTGCATGGAACTATCTCTTGTGCCTTAGCGTTACACACAGCTCCCAGCACAGCACTCGAATAGCTTGCACTCCAGCAAGCATCTATTATAGAGTGTCTACTGCGTGGAAAATTCCAGAAGTTTCTAATCTAGTTGGGGCTCAGATGGGTCTTCGCCTACCTGAGCTTTGTGTTCTGGATTAGGGATAAAGCAGGTTCAGACCAAAGGGTGTGTGTGTGTGTGTCTCTGTGGGTGTGGATGTGTCTGTGGGTGTGTGGGTGTGTTCATCTGTCGGCATATGAGTGGGTGTATGGGTGTGTATGTGTGGGTGTGTGTGTGGTACGTGTGTCCGTGTATGTATGTGTGTTTCGGTGCGTGTCTGGGTGTGTGGGAGTGTGGGTGTGTCTGTGGGTGTGTATCCGTGTGTATGTATCTATGTCTGTGGGAGTGTGTGTGTGTTTCTGTGTGTGGATGTGTGCGTGTGTCTGTGGGTGTGTGGTGTGTTGGGCATGGGAGAAAGTTGTAACCAGGGCACCCTGTCTGCCCTCTGCCCAGTAAAGACCCACCAGCCTACCCTTGGGGCAGAGAAGAGGTGTTGCCCTGTCTTCCAGGGACACTAGGCCCTGAGCCCGGGCACTGTGCTCCCCCTGCAGGCTGCGTCCAGTTCCTGCAATATTATTACCAGAGGGGCTGCCTCTACCGGCTGCGGGCCCTGGGGGAGAGGAACCACCTGGATCTCACGGTGGGTGAGTAGCTGGGCCTGGGTTGGAGGGGGGACAGGCACTGGACCCTGCAGGCACCTCCCATGCAGCGGAGCCAGGATGCTGCCTTTATCCGAGGCGCCTTCCGGAATTGGTCCTGGATTCTGTTTCAGCTGCCGAGTGCTGGGCCAGCTGTGGGCCAGGCCCTGAGGCCAGGCCTCTGTCTCAGCCTCTGGAAATGTCTACTTTTTGTGTGTGTTTTAGAATACATACACAATTAGCCTTGTGCTGGTTGTACACACTGTGTTTAACGTGTCTGCATACCAGTACGTGTAAGTGTAGAAACACATATGCACAGGGACATATGCTTCACTCTTAAGCCATAGGGGTGGCGGTCAGAAAAGTAAGGAGACCCTCTCATCAAGAATTTCAGGGCAAACTGTTTTTAATACAACTATGCTTTTTTATTTTTTATTTTTTGAGACAGAGTCTGTGGCCCAGGCTGCAGTGCAGTAGCATGATCTCAGCCCACTGCAACCTCCGCCTCCTGAGTTCAAATGATTCTCCTGCCTCAGCCTCCCGAGTAGCTGAGATTACAGGCACTGGCCACCACGCTTGGCTAATTTTTGTATTTTTAGTAGCAATGGGGTTTCACCATGTTGGCCAGGCTGGTCTCGAACTCCTGGAATCAAGTGATCTCCCCACCTCAGCCTCCCAAAGTGCTGGGATTCCAGGCGGAAGCCAACGCGCCTGGCCCGACTATCTTTTGAGATAGTCATTGCCATCAGATTACTCTGCTAAGTAGGTCCTCCTGTGTCAAGACTCAATGGAAATCATGCATGTGAAACATCATTATAAAATGTGAAACCCTTGCAGATGAAAGGAATTAGTAACCGCATAGCGCCTGGAGTTTGTGAGTGTTGTCAGGGCCACCTGGCTCTTGGTGGCTTGAGGAGTGAGAGCAGTCAGGCTGGGTGACAGGGCTGCTCTTGTCACAGTGAATGCCCAACTAGCTATGACAGGCAAGGGCTGTCCCCCATGTGTGACTGTGCCTGGTTCATCTTAGGGTGACTGGCATGGCTGAGGGTGGGTGCCTGGTGGGGCTGTGGGGGCAGCGAAGCCTCTCAATGGGTCCTTTTTCTTCCCTTCTCTCCACAGAAGGGTTCCAGTCCTGGATGTGGCGGGGCCTGACCTTCCTCCTGCCCTTTCTCTTCTGTGGCCATGTGAGTCCCCATGGAGTTTGTGGGCGTCTCCTGTCTGGGCTGGCCCCTGGGAAAAGAAGGTTTTCAGGCCTCACCCTCCTTCTCCAGCCATCCCCATGCTGGGCCCCACAGCGTCCTCTTGGCCCAGCGATGCTGAGGCAGGAGTCAGAACTGGCCCAGCACTGCCCTGGCCTTGGGTGCCTGCATTTCATTTTGGGGGGTGTCTGTTAGTGTTGGGGGTAGTTGATACCCACAGTTGTGGCAGGGGCTGGCCTGACCTGGGAGCCTGGTGGGTGAGCAGCACCTGCCCTCCTCTCTCTAGTTCTGGCAGCTCTACAATGCCGTCACGCTGTTTGAGCTCTCCACCCACGAGGAATGCAGAGAATGGCAGGTATGGGGGGTGAGGAGGGTGGGGGCAGGCTGTGGAGAGGCTCCTGGGAGGGTTGGGGTGGCAGGGATGGGGTGTGTGTGTGCGTGTGTGTAGTGTCCTGGGGTGCAGGTTCCTGGGAGGGTTGGGGTGGCAGGGAGGGAGTGTGTGTGTGTGTGTGTGTGTGCGCGCGTGC